ATGATAGGAAAATTACACAAGAAACCATTCTTTTCCCAATAATTTAAACAAATAAGTTTTACAAATTTAGAGCCGAGACATTTTTCATAACAACACTTAGATTTTAATTGATTCGGTGTCACAAATTCATTCATCATCTAACACGTGGCTCGTGTTGGTCGAAGACATTGTTGTTATATTCAAGTTGGTTTGATTTTCTCTCACCCATGATTGGGGAATGCTTAACTTAATTAATTCGTATTATCTAATAATTGTGCTATATCTGCGTTTAGGACAGTAGGCTTGAATTAAATTGATAATATGTTTTGAAGATGTTAACTTAGGCTTAGTATTATCTACAAACAATATCAGCCATTAGTTTAATGCCCGAAATAGTGAACGTATCAAGGTTTAAAGGTTTGTTATACTTGCTATATGTATTATTGAATCTGGAACCGGTCTTGTGCCTTTGTTTAAATCATCCTAAGATTCTAATAAGTTTAAATAAAATTAAGTATATTTTTCAGGTCGTCAAAACACTTAGATGCACACCTCACAACACCCTGGTTTAGACAACTTGAAATTGAAATAGTTTTATTGTTGTACACATAATGAAAGAAATTGTGTTATTTCACAGCTGAATTGTATGATAAGAACCGTAGAACCACCTTGTAGGGAATAACTTTTAATCTTGAACACCCTAATACACATCTGTCAAACGGCATGTTTGACCTACATTCACTTAACCTTAATCCAAACATTAAATCTTTCAACGGTTTAACAAGAAGGTGCTTAAATATTTCCATTTAAATTTTTAACCTTTGTAAATAAATACAAAAAGCAATTCGAAAAATAAACCACAAGTAAAGGAACCATCTCAGTGAATAAAGCTATTAATATGCCGTTAACCCGTGACGCGAACCGAATGGTGTTTTATAGTAAATTAGAGGAATAAAACATATAACGTTGCCATCTCGACCCTGATGCCCATGAACACAAATGACGAGTTTAAGACAAACCAATGGCGGAATGGAATTGATTAATGGAATATAAAATTTAATAATGTATTGACACTAAGTTTTCTGGTTAGACTTTAGCCTAAAAACATGCGTGCTTATGACAATTTTGGCAGTCATATCTGAATGACTCAAAAACTGGTTATATTTCTTCTTTAACTTTTGGTATACTTAAATCCGGCTATTATTTATGGTAGAAAGATATAATAAAATGACCTAAAGCTTTAAAACATATTTTTAAATATGTTGAGGCACCCTGAATTGAATTTGAAGCACCAGGGATAAATAAATAAAAATAGCTATAATGCATGATTTTATTGTAACTAGTGAACTGATAAATATTGTACAATTTATCTAAACAGTACGTTAGTCGTCAGAAAATTCATGAAAACATGGTACTTTTCTGATATCTAGTTAAATTAACACTTACCACACATTATGTCTCCATAAGATGGTAGCTATAATCTTTCAATCCAATCCCCTAATTTAGTATACCCCCACCAAATCATAAAAAAATAATAACATAGCAAAACGGTGTTTAATTCTGATCATCTAAATTATCAAATGATATTCGCCGAAGTAGTAAGTGAGAAGGGCGTGTTTTAAGATGTACATAATGTATCTTACTATTTTTCGCTTATATAATTTGATGTTCAAATACAAACCATTAATACTTATCTAAGCATTAAAACAATCAACCATTTGTGGTTATATTGAAATCTGTAAAGGACGCATTCTTTTTGAATATATTTCAAAGTAGGTTTTGCTGCATTGTACTCAGATACACCTAGCACTTTTAATTGGGTCAATAGTAACGTCCGTTACAAAAGGTCACGTCCGTTACATAGTAGGGAGTCACTTCCGTTACAAATATTTTGTATAATATTGACAAAACAGTACAGAGCAGTAAAATTTAATAAAAAAATAATCATTGATCAAATATTGTAACATATCGGCTAAGAATAACAATGAAATCATGCCCAAGAAAGAGTGTAAAAGAGTTATCAGTTGGGAAATTTCACACTGTTTTGAAACCAGATGTCCAGGAAAGATCCTTGCCAATATCTTGGGGTAACAGGGCACAAAGACATATCTTTACATTCAAAAATGTAGATTTTGATATTATCACACTGCAAATCAACTGGGCCGGTATTTATTAGCAAATTTGGGGCAAATATTAATTGGACATGTGACGTCGATTACAAGGTCGCATGGTCCGCAAAATATGTATTTGCATAAAAACAGAACGATAAGTTCTCTTTTTCATTACAAAATTTGAAAGATGAATTATTAATACAAGTTTTTGACCCCCAAAGAATTGGAAAAAAATAATTTAAATTTAACTGCCTTTTCATCTAAAGTTCTACATCTTATTGTGGTTTGTGTCATATAATGATTGATGCTTCAAGATCCGTCAATCGCCTAAAACAGTTTAAGTCCGGACTAAGGGCTGACCAGTGCATAACGTTGACGTCGTTCTGCTGTAAAAAGTGTGGGCACAGGCGTTGTCATGCTGGAAAACGTTGTCTCGCGATGACGTGCCAAATGTGGTATGACGTGGGGTCTGAGAGCTTGATCGATGTAGCACACTGCTGTGATGCCGCCTCCTCTCCCTGGACCAAGATTTTGGAACATCCTAGGATACACTTTCTAGTACAGGCCGATTCCACCCCAATCCATTATGCTTGGACCACCCCATGAGTCACGTTCCATGACACATTGGTCAGAGCAACGCTGGCCACTTCGACGCCATATTCTGGTCCTGTCATCTGACAGTTCTCCATTGCGTGGCTCACCAGTTCTGGTGTTGTTGGGCAAACTCTAGACGTTCACGTCGATGGCGAGGGGTGAAGATGTGTCCACGGTGAGGTCTACGGCAGTGGATGTTCTCTCTGGTGAGACGTCGGCGCACTGTATCGGTACTGATGGGTCTTCCGTGTGTTCCTACTGTCTGACGTGCTGTCTCAGATGCCTGTGTGAAGGGATGCTGCACGTGCTGTCGCACAACATGGCGGTCTTATCGCCATTTGGTAACTCTTGGTCTACCTGGTCGGGGGGCGATCATCCGTGGTGTTGGGGGCCCCGAAAGCGTTGCTGAAGCCTGTAGATGGTTCGAACACTGACCTGGAAGTGATTGGCAACGGCTTGGGCAGTGTGGCCAGCGTCGACTCTTCAATGCGCCTGGTTTCTCTGGGCTGTCGTGAGTTGTGGCATGCTGATGACGTTGTAGTGTGAATGTTTCAACCAGGTATGGGGGCTGAATTTTATAGGGCTGGTCCCGGTGAAAAGCACGTGCAGCATGAGTTACATGAAAATCATGGAGAACACATTGCCATCTCAGAAGTCAGGTTGTCTTTTTGAGAACATTTCCCGGGTTTAATTCTGTGTTTGGGAAGGAGCCTTATTGCTCAGGTAAAGCTGGAGATGTGGTCACAATTATACAATAAAAACATTTGGCAAATTTTATGCAGTCAAGTACTATATCCGGTGAACACGCGATAAGAAAGACAACTACTACGAGACAATGACGCCATACGACTGTGACGTCATCTATATAAATGCCCTTTATCAACACCCGTTGTCAGATAGAAACGAATACTACATTGGTAGACATCCACAAATAACCAAAAGGAAAAGGACATCAAGACACAATTTTGATCAATATGGCGGCCATCTTGGGTATGACGTCACAGGGGCATAATGACATCATTTTTGGATTTATTGGGGTCGACTTCCTATATGTCTGTAATACATTTATAGGCCCAAAAGTCGATAGTTAACGAGATAGCTGACAATCTAACAGCATTTGGCGGCCATTTTGTATTTATGTTAATTAGAAGGTCAAAAACTAAAATTTCGGCTTGGGAACATGGATAGACGTATTCAGCACATCAAAATCATTAAGAAAAGTGATGTTCCCCACTTTTACTAAGAAATGCTTCTAACATTCTGATTTAACGAAAATTTGACTAGTCTAGGAGTAAACACACGAGGTTGAGAAGGCGTCCCTATTTCCAAGGCACATACGCTCACACCAGGGATCGAAACCACAACCGCAAGCTAGAGGTAACCGGCCAGCTAGAGGTCGAAGCGCGGCACTCTAGCGCGTGATATACTTTGTATATATCGAGGGTATAGAACATAATTGTGATAAGTCAATATATCAGGCATTGTGACTTATCACAATTATGTTCTAAACCCTCGATATTGTAGTATGCTAGACAAGATAATGTAAGAAATGTTAATCTCTTCAAGTACCTGTTAGGTGGACTGTCGACCTATATAATATAACGTCTACCAGGCTTTATCAAATTAAAGACAACAAATCCTAAGAGACGTCCATTGTTTGTAGGGGCGGACTGGGTAGCTCTGAGCCCTCGGACAAACTGGTGCCCTTGGGACACGACGAGAAAAACGTAACATGTTTGATTAACCAATCTCGCACTCCGGCAATGATATTCTTTAGTGGGTGCAAAGATTAAAGAACACTTTTCTATTTATTAACCTATTTCAAAATGAACTGCATTGTGGTAGACAAATATGTTTACTACGGTGCCAGTTGAAAAGTTTATTCCAATCCTTTATAACATTTACCAAGTAATTAATGTGTAACGGTGTACCCCAAATCCATGTAAAAATAATGGTACGTGCTCAACGGTTGATAACGGTTACAGCTGTAGTTGTACTCCTGGGTATTTAGGAGAAAACTGTGATGGAAAGATATATTGTATATCGTATCAATAATTTCCCCGAGAGAGGGGGAGAAAATGGGTTTAAATTGATTGCATTTACAGATATACATGGAACCATTTCGGTAAAGGATCCTGGATTGCAAACTCGCCTGTCATCGTTGTAATTTGCTTTCGAATATGCACGAGTAGCTAAACCACGTGATTTTGTTTATCATTATGGTTGCTTAGACCGATTCGGTATTTACAAGCAAAATCAAAATATTATTACTCCAAAAATTAAGTATAGGGAAATAGTGAGCATATTTAATTGCAGTGAATGTGTGTCTACCTAACCCATGTAAGAATAATGGAACGTGTTCACCAGTTGATAACAGTTACAGCTGTAATTGTGCTATAGGATATTTAGGAAAAAACTGTGACGGTAAGTTACGTACATTCTTTATTGTCATAATAATTTAGTCAGCCTTAATTGACCAGCCAACAAGCTCATTATGAACAAATCAAGCCCGAAAGGACTCGGGGTGCAGCCTTATTTGACGCCAGATTAACGTAAGAATTCGCCCATTACATCTGAATTAAATCTTTAAATTAAGATGCAGCCTTGTTCGACACCAGATTAACATAAGAATTTATCTATTACATCTGAATAAAACATTGTTTTCATGTGGCCATGTGATAATGCTCTAACAATGTATCGATTAATTCCCACAGAGGCGCACATGAAATCGATAAAACTCATATATAATTACAGTTACTAGTACATATTTACACAAGACGAGGCGGTCCGGTTCACATTCACTGTTACTTTACTGGACTCAGCTTGAGCTGCCCCTTCTTTAACGCAAAAAGATCAGGATTCAGGAAATTGAATTAGATATCATGCCGCGAATTTATAAATCTCAATGGGTATCATATCATCACCAGTACTTGTTGCATTCATTATTTTACTTAAATCTCTGATAATTTCTAACCCGTTAAGAAATATCCATATTACATTATGCCATACTTAACATTTGGAATTATGATAACTCACTGTCTCACATACATGATTACTAACGTGTGTGAGGTCAGTGTATTACCACTACGGCGCCGTTACAGAGCGTGACCAAAATTAATCCTTCCCACGAAGGCGCAGATATGGACTTCCCACGAAGGCACGGATATGGACTTATCGGCTTTCGTTTGAAGAAAGGCATGTTGTTATTAGGACCCAATTAACGGTGTTAGAGATTTAATGAATTTATGTTCACTCTGAATTTTATTCACCATTTGGCAACTAATGATGAATATCATAACATCATCCAAGTAGTGTTCACTCTGAATTTTACTCACCAATTGGCAACTAATGATGAAAATCATCAGATCATTCAAGTATTGTTCACATATTCGCCCACTCTCAATCAGATCCAAAAATAACTGAATTGGCCGACTACGTAAACAACCAAAGGGGGAGGATGAACATGCTCCTCATCAGTGGAACCACTACCACACAGGGGAACACAAAATCAACAACACCCTGGAAGAATGGCATTCAAGGATCAAGAAGCTAGTTGTTAAAGTTCATCCGAAATGTTTTTGATATGATCTCATTTTACAAGAGCAAAATATTAATTAAATTAGAATCGTACAGTATGTCGGGGAACAGAAACCACCAAGGAAGAGATATAAATATGCCCAAATCTAAAGCCAACTCCAGGAATTAAAAAGTAGACACGAAGAAGAGGAATTAAGACAGGGTGTCTTATTTGGGGAAATTAAATTTGTTTATATTTATTAACGTCATATGCCAAACATGTTAAAATGTTAGTTAATTAGTCACATTGGGGATTATGAAATTGTAAATTCTTATCATAACAATCTATAACTCCATTATTACATTTTTAATTCATTTTAATCCATGAAAGCTGGATTCCCACGAACACGTCGAATATGACCTCTTTTAATCCGTTACGGTCAATAACTGCGCCTTCGTGGGAATGAACCGTGAGGTCTACATTTCTTTAATTTAATTTTAGTAAATCCTTGTGATATATGCAACCATTGTTTAAATAATGGCACGTGTAACGGACGTTTTTTATTGCATTGAAAGAGTGGCTCACCACCTGTATCTATATATGTATGTTTATGTTACAAATGAAGAGGCATACTTGAGTGATATGATGTAAGTATTTATGTTGATCTAGAGACGTTTGAGAAGAAACTATTCCGTCAAAGAATCACGCCCGTTATTTGCGTTTATGATGATCGATATTTCCCGTCCCGTTTTAAATCCATGGCTCCTCCGCAGTTATTAGCTCCCTTGTTCTACACACTGTTCGTATACCTCACGATTTTGCGGGTAATTAAGAATGGGGGACACGATACGGAAATTCCGTCCTCAAACTTTTGTTGTCGTCATGTCCGTAATGTCACAATCACGTCCGTTATGCCCAAATCACGTCCGTTATATTATTACAAGAATTTGACAAAAACTGAGGAGATGCCAAAGCCGTCTGTTTTGCGCTCAAAATCAAGAGCCGTTCCTCACATTCTGGTAATCGAAATAAATAAAAGAATCACGCAAATTTGATTGATAACAGTTTGACCTTCGGTTTGACGTGTAACGGATGTGATGGTGGACGAAATTCATAATGTCAAACATCACTAACGTTACACAAAGAAGCTAAGATAACCTAAAGAAAATTACGAGTCTTTATTAAATTACATAAATTGCCTTCTTTTTAAATGTCCTTAAACTAAGAATGGAAAAGAGCGTTAAACACCGACATTGTACTCAGATACACCTAGCACTTTTAATTGGGTCAACAGTAACGTCCGTTACAAAAGGTCACGTCCGTTACATAGTAGGGAGTCACTTCCGTTACAAATATTTTGTATAATATTGACAAAACAGTACAGAGCAGTAAAATTTAATAAAAAAATAATCATTGATCAAATATTGTAACATATCGGCTAAGAATAACAATGAAATCATGCCCAAGAAAGAGTGTAGAAGAGTTATCAGTTGGGAAATTTCACACTGTTTTGAAACCAGATGTCCAGGAAAGATCCTTGCCAATATCTTGGGGTAACAGGGCACAAAGACATATCTTTACATTCAAAAATGTAGATTTTGATATTATCACACTGCAAATCAACTGGGCCGGTATTTATTAGCAAATTTGGGGCAAATATTAATTGGACATGTGACGTCGATTACAAGGTCGCATGGTCCGCAAAATATGTATTTGCATAAAAACAGAACGATAAGTTCTCTTTTTCATTACAAAATTTGAAAGATGAATTATTAATACAAGTTTTTGACCCCCAAAGAATTGGAAAAAAATAATTTAAATTTAACTGCCTTTTCATCTAAAGTTCTACATCTTATCGTGGCTTGTGTCATATAATGATTGATGCTTCAAGATCCGTCAATCGCCTAAAACAGGATGGCGTCAGAAAAATATCATTCATTGTAGTACCTGGGGCCCTGCTTCTTTACTTCAAACTAACAATACACTTTTCTTTCAAAAATATTCCAAGAAATTAGCGGGAAAGTCCAAAAGATTGGCATAAGACGTGACAAGATTGAACGTCGTTCAGCCATCGCCATGCTTGTAAATGTCAAAGGCGCGTCAATGTTTTCTAAGGTGACGTCATTATAAAAAGTGGGAGGAGCTACAGGTTTCTGACGGAAAGGTCAATTGATAGCATAACGGCACAGAGGTGTTTAATGCTGATCATCTAAATTATCAAATGATATTCCCCGAAGCAGTAATTGAGAAGGGCGTTGTTTAAAGATATATTTTAATATTTTTCTATTGTATAATATGATTTTCAAATATAAACCATTAATACCCATCTTAGCATCGTGTATGACAGTGTGCATCAGTATAATCACTTATTTGTGGTTATATTGAAATTTGTAAAGACGCGTTCTTTTGAATTTATTTTTAAAAAATAATAACTTAAATACAACAGAAGAACATAGTCCAGGAGGTTTTCCCCATTGGAAAAAAAAACGTATTAGTAACGCTTATTCAACAAACAATTGTTATACTTTTAGTGATTTGTAGGGCGTCAAATCCTAATGTTATTGTACTGTTTTAATTTGTAGATTTTATTTTTTATTTTATTCATTGATGTAAAACATTTATTACAATTTTATAGTAAAATGTATAAAACACCGAGTTTTGCCTAGCAAATGCCAAATGAAGTTATGGAAAACGCGATGGCTGATATATGTATAGTTCACAAGCAGTATCATAATACAGATATGTGACGAGAAGTTAATATAAATAGGGCCTATACCCTATAAAAGTTTACCGTCATCGAATTGTTTACTGTCCTCGTTACATGGATTCAAATCACAAATACACCAAAGCTAGAAAACTACAAATCCGAAGAATTTTGTTTATAAAATATTCACTTTCCATTCAATAAATATTCCAGTCATCTATTTTTGGAATTGGGGACATTCATTCTCTTTTCCCCATAAATACAGATTGCCGTGTTATTTAATATTCAAACCAAACAGCATGTAATCAAAGAACGCTTTTATTCGTAATATGTAATATTGTCACGTGACATTGTTATGGTTTTTTTTCGCTTGGGAAGCTTTTATTATTCACTATAGAACTCCAGTATAGTAAACCATAACTATGAACAATATCATGTTCCAAATAAATAATCTAATTTGTAGATCTGCAATTTGTCACGTGATGGTCCGAACATTATTTGTATGGCTCAATTTGTTGATAGAAAATACCGCTAATAATTATTTGTACTAATCCGTGCACGAGATGACTGGACTATAGTACCCTACTTCCAGCAATGGATACTGACATAACTGTCGGTAAGTTGGTCTAAGATAGTAGTAAAATAATGCAAGCTACTTCACTACCCTAGCTTTCGTCACACATCATTTAGGTGAAGAATTTCTATATTAAACAGAACACCGTTTTTAATACTAAAATAAACCCTATAGTATTATACCCATATAGAGCTGAGAGTGGCCCCTTTCGTCATGCCTGCTACGCTGCTTCCACTGTGAGGTGAGAGTGAGGCCAGAGAATCTAAATGAAATTTAGTTGATGCTTGATGAATGCAATCGTATAAGATCTGAGGCAGACTCGAGAATCCTTAGTCCCCTAATTTCTATTGGGATTGACCCTTTATCAAAACTGGTATCGGCTACCTCAAAAACGTATATTTTGACACCAAAATGTGATCATTTTGTAAAATTCGAATTTCCCGCCATCTGGAATCATTCCCCAATATTTACTCCGCTGTATAACTAATCACCAAAATGTGCATGGAAATGGATTCAGCTGTCTCGAAAGGATATATTTTAATACAAAACTTGGTCACATTATAATAATTAGATAAAAAAAATTGCATTTTCTGGCAAAAACTGGCGGCGATTTTGGATATTGGCCAATTCGACCCATTTAGACACAGATTTAAGAATGCGCTTTTGGAAATGAAATGAAATGAAATGGAGTTTAACGTCCTACTGTTCTGCTCCTAACCTGGGCTAATGAAGACGGGCATACGCCATACAGTGTGCTATGAGGGAAATTTTGCCCGGACAGCGGCACTACGGCCTACTCTTATATCGAATTCCAACTGCCAAGGGATCTTTTACGTGCACGCCAATGTGTACACGGGACCTCGGTTTTTCGTCCCATCCGAACGACTAGACAGCTTTCCTGCATCACTGACAAGGGAGAACCACGCCGGAAAATCTGGATGAACTTTCTCGGCCAATGCAGGGATCGAACACCCGATCGCCAGGCTAGCGAGCTAGGGTCTTACCCACTTTGCCACGTGAAGGGGTGGGGGTGGTAACATAAACATAAACCTTGGTCGACATTTCTATTGTAGCAACTGCCCAGGATGATGTGGAATTGAGTTGTACTGAAATGAATTGAAATGAAATTGGGGTTACTGGTGCACTGTTGTAATTAAGGCAAATATTGTATTTTTAATTAATACATTATTATGATTACTGTTCATATTGTAATTGTAATCCATACATTATTAGGTTTAATGTAAAAGTTTTATTTAATGTTAATTTTTTAATCGTAAGCCATACGCTGTAGTAGTTAATGGAAATATTTTAATTGTAAGACATACGCTTTAGTAATTAATAGAAATATTGTAATTATAAGCCATATGCTGTTGTAATTGATAGAAATATTGTAATTGTAAGCCATATGCTGTTGTAATTAATAGAAATATTGTAATTGTAAGCCATATGCTGTTGTAATTACTAGAAATTGTAAGCAATATGATGGTGTAATTAATTGTAATTGTAAGAATTGTAAGACACTGTTGTGATTAAGGGGAATATTGTAATTATAACACATGCACTATTTGGATTAAAGATACATTTTGGGTATTAGGTAAATAGCTGGCAGTTCTTACTATAATAGTTTAAAGCTAGATAATGTAAAGGAAATTTACTGAAAATTTCAGTGAAATTGATCCACTCTGAACCGAAACTTTAGCTATTGAATTGTCGGCCTAGCCTCGATCATCATTACTAAAGACGGCACGATAAAATAAACATAGTCTCGATTATCCATGAATGGAAGTCGAACAGAAAATCGGAAACTAACCCAATAAACACTACAGGTAAACGCACGGGACTAGATTGTGAACTGCGCATGTTATCTAAAGCCAATTATTAAGACCACCTGCCGATTTGACCAAGGCCGCCGAGTGTTAAATAGGTTCAGTTGTTGACGATCAGGGCATGTGCTTGTTGATGACCAGGTTTAAGAATTTGGTTGAAAAGTATTGATAAGCAATAAGAATATTATTACTCAAAAAATTAACTTGAGAAATTTAGAGAATTAATCTTTATAGAGAAACCGGCCAACATGTTTATATTACTTGTGCCTTTTTATACGCCCACATTGAAATGTGGTCGTATATTGTCGTCGCCCCCGTCCGTCGGTCCCGCGTCCACGATTGCCTGTGGACGCTCTAGAGGCTAAAGTTAATATCTGATTGACTTTAAATTTATACACAGTGTTTAAGGTCTTGAGACGAAGAAGCCTATGGATTTTCCGCGATTTCCAATATTTGCTGCCAGAGTTATGGCCCTTGATCACTATGAAAAATCTTTTTGCCGCTCTAGAGGCCAGAGTTAACATCCGATTGACTTTCAATTTATACACAGTGTTTACGGTCATGAGAGGAAGAATCCTATTGATTTTCAGCGATTTCCGATAATTACTGTATATGGCTCTTGATCACTTCAAAAAAATTTGTGGATGCTCTAGAGGCTAAAGTTAATATCCGATTGAGTATAAATTTATACACAGTGTTTGAGGTCATGAGACGAAGATTCCTATTGATTTTTAACGATTTCCGATAATTACTGCCAAAGTTATGGCCCTTGATCACTTTGCAAAATCTTGTGACGCTCTAAAGGCTAAAGTTATCATCCGATTGACTTCAGATTAATATACAGAGTTTAAGATCTTGAGACGAACAAGTATATTGATTTTCAATGAATTTTTATGACTTGAACAGTTAAATCCATGATATTAAAAGCTTTGCATACAAAACGTTAGCATGGGGCAGAACTTTATAAAAACCAAACAAATTCTAATAGTTTTCTGATAAGTACGTCGTGAATTGTTGCTCTTAATCAGATTTTAGTGTATTATAAATGTTTCATTACCGAAAAAAGTAAAAATATGCGACAACCCTTGTTGACTGCCTGGACGATTTAGTTGCTGTGGGCGTATGTTTCCTTGCCTGGCAACCTATCTTTAATTCTAGTGAATCTGTGTCTACCCGACCCATGTAAAAATGGTGGTACTTGTTCACCAGTTGATAACGGTTACAGCTGTAATTGTCCTACAGGATATTTAGGAGAAAACTGTGATGGTAAGGTACTTACATTCATTATTGTCATAATAATTTAGCATGCTTTGATTAACAAGCAGACAAGTTCATTTGTGGATGCTCTAGAGGCTAAAGTTAATATCCGATTGAGTATAAATTTATACACAGTGTTTGAGGTCATGAGACGAAGATTCCTATTGATTTTTAACGATTTCCGATAATTACTGCCAAAGTTATGGCCCTTGATCACTTTGCAAAATCTTGTGACGCTCTAAAGGCTAAAGTTATCATCCGATTGACTTCAGATTGATATACAGAGTTTAAGATCTTGAGACGAACAAGTATATTGATTTTCAATGAATTTTTATGACTTGAACAGTTAAATCCATGATATTAAAAGCTTTGCATACAAAACGTTAGCATGGGGCAGAACTTTATAAAACCCAAACAAATTCTAATAGTTTTCTGATAAGTACGTCGTGAATTGTTGCTCTTAATCAGATTTTAGTGTATTATAAATGTTTCATTACCGAAAAAAGTAAAAATATGCGACAACCCTTGTTGACTGCCTGGACGATTTAGTTGCTGTGGGCGTATGTTTCCTTGCCTGGCAACCTATCTTTAATTCTAGTGAATCTGTGTCTACCCGACCCATGTAAAAATGGTGGTACTTGTTCACCAGTTGATAACGGTTACAGCTGTAATTGTCCTACAGGATATTTAGGAGAAAACTGTGATGGTAAGGTACTTACATTCATTATTGTCATAATAATTTAGCATGCTTTGATTAACAAGCAGACAAGTTCATTTGTGGATGCTCTAGAGGCTAAAGTTAATATCCGATTGAGTATAAATTTATACACAGTGTTTGAGGTCATGAGACGAAGATTCCTATTGATTTTTAACGATTTCCGATAATTACTGCCAAAGTTATGGCCCTTGATCACTTTGCAAAATCTTGTGACGCTCTAAAGGCTAAAGTTATCATCCGATTGACTTCAGATTGATATACAGAGTTTAAGATCTTGAGACGAACAAGTATATTGATTTTCAATGAATTTTTATGACTTGAACAGTTAAATCCATGATATTAAAAGCTTTGCATACAAAACGTTAGCATGGGGCAGAACTTTATAAAAACCAAACAAATTCTAATAGTTTTCTGATTGTACGTCGTGAATTGTTGCTCTTAATCAGATTTTAGTGTATTATAAATGTTTCATTACCGAAAAAAGTAAAAATATGCGACAACCCTTGTTGACTGCCTGGACGATTTAGTTGCTGTGGGCGTATGTTTTCTTGCCTGGCTACCTATCTTTAATTCTAGTGAATCTGTGTCTACCCGACCCATGTAAAAATGGTGGTACTTGTTCACCAGTTGATAACGGTTACAGCTGTAATTGTCCTACAGGATATTTAGGAGAAAACTGTGATGGTAAGGTACTTACATTCATTATTGTCATAATAATTTAGCATGCTTTGATTAACAAGCAGACAAGTTCATTTGTGGATGCTCTAGAGGCTAAAGTTAATATCCGATTGAGTATAAATTTATACACAGTGTTTGAGGTCATGAGACGAAGATTCCTATTGATTTTTAACGATTTCCGATAATTACTGCCAAAGTTATGGCCCTTGATCACTTTGCAAAATCTTGTGACGCTCTAAAGGCTAAAGTTATCATCCGATTGACTTCAGATTGATATACAGAGTTTAAGATCTTGAGACGAACAAGTATATTGATTTTCAATGAATTTTTATGACTTGAACAGTTAAATCCATGATATTAAAAGCTTTGCATACAAAACGTTAGCATGGGGCAGAACTTTATAAAAACCAAACAAATTCTAATAGTTTTCTGATTGTACGTCGTGAATTGTTGCTCTTAATCAGATTTTAGTGTATTATAAATGTTTCATTACCGAAAAAAGTAAAAATATGCGACAACCCTTGTTGACTGCCTGGACGATTTAGTTGCTGTGGGCGTATGTTTTCTTGCCTGGCTACCTATCTTTAATTCTAGTGAATCTGTGTCTACCCGACCCATGTAAAAATGGTGGTACTTGTTCACCAGTTGATAACGGTTACAGCTGTAATTGTCCTACAGGATATTTAGGAGAAAACTGTGATGGTAAGGTACTTACATTCATTATTGTCATAATAATTTAGCATGCTTTGATTAACAAGCAGACAAGTTCATTTTAGGAAAAGAAAAGGACTCAGGGTGCAGTCTTGGTTGACACTAGACTAGATTGACATGAGAATCCACTCATTACATCTGAGTTAACTCGTTATATCTGAATAAACTCATTACATCTGAGTTAACTCATTACACCTGAATTAACTAGTTACATTATAATTGTTATAATAGGTCCATGTTATCTTGCTCAAACAATGTATCACATAACTTTGTTTGATTAAGGGGGGTTGGATGGCCGAATGGTTAGCACGCGCGTGCTGTATCATACGGTCTGTCATTGAGTCAACCTTCGGGGTTCCGATTCCCCGGTGGTACGTGACAAGGAATAGAGTCGCCTGTCCAACCTCGTGGGTTTTCTCCGGGCCCTCCGGTTTCCTCCCACTGCTAAAGACCCCTACGCGCAAGCGAATGATTGAAATAAAATTAAACCATATGTTAGTCCTGAAATGACCTAGTTTGTGTCGAGTGGACGTTAAACCCCATCTCTCTCTCTCTCTCTCTCTCTCTCTCTCTCTCTCTCTTGTTTGTTTGATAAGTTCACTAACATGCTATACAGAATTGATATGAATAATTTTAAGGCATGGATCAGAATGTAGGATGTCACTATACTTACTTGGTAATGTCATATCCTCACCAGTAGCCTACTTTTTACAGTCACCACTGATAATTTCTAGGTCACGAAGAAATATGGGTCATTCCATTTTACCTGGACATGTGCTTGTAAGTGACCCCCTCAGAAAATTATGAAAACAAATATGTTATAGTACATAGAGTCTTATGTAAAACTGTAAAGTTATATGACTCTAGTATTAATATTGATATGACTCGATTTTTGTGATCCGATTTTATTCCTTCTAGCCAGTTTATGTTCTTGAAATTATGGGGTTTGTAAGAAAATGTTATGTAGATTAAGAATTTACAATCACAGTTTACAGGAAAAGTACCATCAACTGCGTATGGGGTACCTTAAGTGCCAAAATGTGATACTTGTGCAAAAAACAATCGATATAACATTCTCTTACAAACCCCTTAATTTCAAGAATATTGTCTATCTAGGGTATATAAAATCAGAACACTAAAATCGAGCCATATACCAGTCGTTTCAAAACTTGCGAAAGGGTATCCGATTCAAATGGCCATATTAATACTAGAGTCATATAGTTTTACATAAGACTGTGTGTACTATAACATATATGTTTTTTTTTATAAATTTTCAGAGGAGGTCACTTTACAGCTTTCTCAGAATTTGGTCCCCTTGACATGGAATGACCCATATCCATATTACATTATGCTATAATTAACAATTGGAATTAGGTCACTCAGTATCTAATATACATTATTACTAATATATGTGAGGTCTACATTTTTTAAATTTAATTTTAGTTAACCTATGTGATTTCAACAACCCCTGTTTAAATGATGGTACGTGTTATCCATCAGAAGGTGGCGTGAGTTGCAGCTGTCCTCCTGGATTTGAAGGGTCCTTTTGTCAAGGTAAGCTGGTACTATGTCTGTACACTATATAATCTTCTTCGGTATAAAAACCTATATATAAATATTTGCATAATATAATAAATAAAGGTTAAAATGCCTAAAGAAATTACTATTATTTAATTGTCTACATGTTTCGCCTGATTTCGGTAGCCATAATTACAGAAATAACGTGAAGTCCAAGACTACTGAGTCCCAACAGACAGTATCCACGCCAGCTATTCCTAGACGATCAAGGTTGTCACAAATCGGATAGATGAGTTATGCGCCCTTGGGTATGAAGGCTTGATAAATCTGGCTCGTGCAAATGTTGAGGAAAATGAGTTTTAGACATAAATAACAGTGTCAATTTATACCAGTTATAAATAGATTCTGTATAGGTAATTGGGTGGTTGTCTGTTTGATGTAAACAAATTGAAGAACACCAAGGAAAATAGTTATCCAACTTATTCTATCGAATTTGAACAAAGGCTCTAATGAACCAAGATGGCGGACCAGGTACTAACCGCCAACCAACAGAACAAGAAAACCAGGAAGATCCTAGAAGCTATAAATATCAGAAGACATTCACCTGAACTCAATAGGGACTTAGGGCTCTACATCCCCAGGGCATATGATGATGTAATTAAGATGAACAACATAATTTAACTATTAAGCCATCTTTGGTTGTACTAAAATCCCCGCCCCACCCCATCAATAAATTTTCGATATTATAGACTCTCCCAACCTGTTAATAACCCTCTAATCATGCAGTATCAGTGCTTATTAGTAGCTAATTACCTTGTTATGTTTGTTGTTATTGTTAAATATCCTTTACACCTTGATTATTTCTATTACTGTTATTCTTAATCCATACAGATGGTTTCTTATTAATTTCATATATATTGTCCACAAGTTTACTAAATTGTCATTTGTGCTTGATAACGATAAGAGGATACTTGTCGAAACGTCGTGCTTTTAGAATAAACTAGTGATTGTATCCCATAAAAACTGTGTTCTGTTAATTTGTTCCCTGATCGCTAAATGCCACTTAAAGAATAGGTTTGTAACCCACAGATCTTGGTTCCATTCGATATTCGCGCATATCGGACCGTAACTTCCTGAATTATACCCCCTGATTGTAAGAAAAATCGCGTTTTTATCTTGTGGACCCTATAGTATAGAGGTCAAAATTTGTATCCAATTTAAAAAACTGGTTTAGTATATCACCGTTACACACTAAGGATGGCTGAGTTCGAATTCCGTAAAAATGGCCCAAAACTGACAGACAAAATGGCCGTCCTCGTTCTCAAATAGCGTAAAAAATATGGTATATCAAGGTTGTGGACCCTCTAGAGGTCACAATTTTCTTCTGATTTCTGATGAAACTTGGAAATTAAGTTTATAACCCAAAGATCTCGGTTCCTTTCGATATTCGTGCATATCGGACCGTCAGTTCCTGAATTATGGCCCTTGATTGAACAAAAAATCACGTTTTTAGCTTGTGGTCCCTGTAGAGGTCACAATTTTCATCTAATTAAAAACAATGTGTGAATATATCACCATTACACACTAAGATCTTGGATCCTTTTGATAATCGCGGAAACCTTCCTGGGTTATGGCCCCTGATTGTTCGAAAAATGTCAATTTTAGCTCGCGGATTCTCTAGAGGTCACCATTTTTTTTCCGATTTTAAAAACCGTTTAAATATTTCACCATTCCACCATAATGAAGGCTGAATTCGAATTTCGGGAAAATCGTAATGAAACTGCCCAACAAAATGGCCGCTATTTGTATGCAAATTGTGTAAAAGTATGCAATACGATGGTTGTCGACCCTCTAGAGGTCACAATTTTGATCCGATTCTGATGAAACTTAAAACATATCTTTATATCCCAAAGATCTCAGTGCCTTTTGATATTTGCGCATTTCAGACCATAACTTTATGGATTATTGCCCCTGATTGTACAAAAAATCCCGTTTGTTTTTAGCTTGTTCTCTATCCATCTCTTGCAAAATGTGGGCGTATCCTGCCTGGCAGCCGCTGGTTCTTATATTTATCAATGACATTACCGACGGTACAGTAGGATTAGGTAGACGTTTTGCAGACGATACTAATTACAGCACTTTAAAAAATATAATTAATTTAGATTTAATATATTTAAATGAGTGGTCAAAAAAGTGGCTGGTTAAAATCAATCTGACACTAAAACCTGTCAATAAACATTTAGGAATTATCTTCAGTAGCGACTGTAAATTAACTAATCATATTGATAAATTGATTGGCAATGCCCCGAAACAGTTAAGCATTTTAAGAAAACTAAAATATAAATTAAAGAGGGAATACTTGGAAAAAATGTACTTAACATTTATCAGGCCAATATTAGAATATTCATCTGAAGTGTGGGACAATTATGGAAAAGTCAACTCCGAGCGTTTAGAAAAGCTCCAAATCGAAGCAGGTCGAATTGTTACGGGCTTAACAAGTTATGCTCGTTTAGAATCCATTTATAAAGAGTCGGGGTGGGAAACTCGGAGGCTTGTTAGGAAATTGTCATTATTCTATAAAATTGTAAATGAGCAGACACCTCAATATTTTACAGACCTTGTACCAGATATGGTATCACAAAATAACAATTATTATCTTCGTAACTCCCAATATCAGATTCAGAGTCTTATCAGATGGTTGCATATCCCAAAAAAAAAAAAAAAAAAAATCCGCTCACTATTAAATTGTGGAACTCTTTGGATTTACAATTGAGACAATTACCAACATTTTCTCTTTTTAAAAATAAGCTATGTGCGGTATATTTTCAAAACGCAAATGTTCCAACTTATTTTTCATGTGGTGATCTATATTTAAACATTTTACGCTGCAGGATGCGTAATAAATGCAGTGCCTTAAATGGCGATTTATTTCATGCAAATGTAGTTGATAATTCTGCTTGTTCATGTGGATATATTGAAAACGCAAACCATTTCTTATTATCTTGTTCAAAATATAAAATTCACAGAGACGTCATGATAGCTGATACAATTTGATGATATATACATGTACTATTATATGTTGATATATATTTTGTTGTTTGGTAATGATTTACTGAACTGCGAAGCTAACGTGCATATTTTTTTTTAATGTTCAGAGGTATATAAAAAATACTGGTCGCTTTTCTCAATGACATTTTTCAAGATCAAATAATGCTCATTTGTGTGAATTTTTTGCGATATATATTTACCTATAGTTATTTGTTTAAAGATAGTTACTAGGCTCGTTGGACGATCACACATCTTTGTTATCTGAGTCACGAATCAGACAAAACACTATATAAAACTTCTGTAAATTAAATGATATAATTAATCTCCACATATCTGGAACTTCTATCTGAGAATATGAGTTCACTTATAAGAATAATCCACTAAGTACACGTGGAATGTAAGGGTCTGTCTTGATTCGCAACACAATTAAAGAGAAATAGTTTTGATAGTGTAATTTGAAATTATTATAAAATTAAATATTTCACATACATGTAGTTTCTACACTTACATTGCTATTATTATTTTTCTTTCTTTTCTTTTCTTCGTACTCAGATATGTAAAAAAGATTTGATTACAAATATAATGTGTTCTATTATGATTATTTGTTTATGTAAATATATATATTGGAGATGGCGTTCTAAGTTGTCAAACTTGTGTCTTATCCACTTGTTAGTTACTTTTTACTTAGCTGTGTATTTATTATTTTGTAGAAGATTTATGTGACCCGAGTCCTTGTACCGAGATCGGGGATACATGTTTTCGTGTTGATGGTGGATTTGAATGTCGATGTATTTATATTGTAAATGATGAAAGTAAGTATATTTAATGTCAACCCATTGGGCTGTTTTAGAAGCACGTAAATTTTGTTTAGAAGTAGTGACACTATGTGGCGTGTATGATACAGTGACCATGTTGTTATAAATGTAATTAAAACTATAACCATCACTTTTTGTTTATAATTTCAGTTATAACATCACCGAATTATCCACTTGGATATCCAAACAACTTCGCCATTTGCTATCTTGTAATTGGCCGACCTGAACAGAATATCACCTTAACTCTTGGCGGACAATATAACATTGAGTTATTTAGGGTGATGGTGATTAGTACATGCCGGGGCGAACTATCTACAACATGTATTAAAGATTATCTAACGCTTCAGGGAGTAAGGTAATCCCATCTATCTTATCAATAAGAACCCCACATTTTCTAGTTACATCCACCGGGTAAATAAGTAAACCCCAAAACAAATAGCAAAGCAAAAGCGCCTGACTGCAATACCAGCCAGTGAGTAAAGCAACAAGAAATTAGTGATAGCGTTATTTGTCTAGCTTTAGAACCGAAATCCAACGACGACCATCCGAATTCCGTGTTTGTTGGGAGATGGGTAGAAATAAAGTGGCCGACACCTTTCCGCTCAAGTTCCTGGGAGCTGGTAATTAGCCCGGGGATATGTGTGTTGGTTGGGGGGGGGGCATCTCCCCCACGGAATTTATGAATTTTAGCAAGTGAGTACGACATCCTGAAAGTGGTCCAATATAATCCATCTGGAAATGGCATCAAAAAATTCTCTAATGAAATAAATGATGATGCCCGAAACATGTCGCGCTTTGAGCTGAGCGACTACACTGTTTATTACACTAATTCTCACTGATCCTTATAAGACATATAGAAATAGATTTCACTAAAAATAAAACACACTTATATGGATATACTACTTCTGAATTTATTAACATGCTACGTTTCGATACACATACAGATATCGTTTTCAAGCAAATAATGATAATCAACAATAAATGTGGTACAATATATAGGTAACAAGTGGAAACCATTTAACAGAATAATCAATACTATCAACAACGCATTATCAAGATCAAAGAAGTTATATGAATTAACATGATGAAAGAATAACACTAATAATACAAAAGGAAGAGATTAGAGGATAATTGACTACTAATAATACAAAAGGAAGAGATTAGAGGATAATTGACTACATGAAACCGTAACATCAAGACGCTAATTAACTATATGAAACCATAACTATAAGATGAGATGAAAGTCAGAGATAGAAACAATCATCACAAGTGAAACCTTAACTACAAGATGAAATAAAGGGGGGGGGGGGTCATACACTTATGACCACAGACACTTCTCATCACTAACACACACTGATTAAGAATTAAATAAATCAACCCAAAGATTTGGGAGGAAATGTCCTGAGTCTCTGTTTAATTTTGGCTTATGTTTTTGAATTTCCAAAGCCTCGCGAAGAACTCTGCTTTTCCATGTTGATAGGTTTCTAGCTAGTATTTCTGTACTTTCCCATTTGATTTGGTGCTGTGGGTTTTGGTGGATATGTTCTGCTAGCGCTGATTTGTTTTGTTCTTGTTTTTTAACTGCTGTCTGATGCTCTTTAGTTCTGATTGAAATTGTAAAATAAATTACATCAGACACCAAATCAAAAAGATTCTAGAGAAACCAGCTATAACCAAACCTAACCTAACCAAAGAGGAAACCCGGGCAATCAAAGAATTAAAGGAAAATAAAGACATATCGATAGTAGCAGCTGACAAAGGTAAAGCCACAGTACTAATAGACACCAGTAACCTGAATGAATTAGTTAACAACACCTTGTCAGACAGCTCAACCTACAAACAACTAAAAAAGGACCCTACGGCCAAACTAGACAGACAACTTAAATCTACATTAAAAACCCTTCGCGACAACAATGAAATAGATAAACAACTTTATGAGAAATTAAATATATCCCATCCAACGCCACCTTATGCTAGAGTACAAGTTAAAATCCACAAAGACCCTATCAAAATTAGACTGTTAACATGTTCTCGTGGATCAGTGTACTATAATACAGCACAGTATATTTCTAAACTGTTATCACCAATTGCTACTAGTGCTAGTTCCTACATCAAAGATTCATCAGAATTCTGTCATAGACTTAAACAAAATAATGTGAATGGTCAGTTAGTTAGTTATGATGTCGTTGATTTGTTTACGAATATACCACGGGATGAAGCAATACAAGTGCTAAGGCAGAAAATAGAATCTATTTACCAAGAACTATCCACAAACCTCAAAATAGACAGTATCATTCAACTTACAGAGCAATGTATCAATTCCTCATATTTCTCATGGCAATCAGAAATTTATGAACAGGTTCATGGACTACCCATGGGATCTCCCATAAGCCCTCTCATAACAGAAGTATATATGACCCATTTCGAAGAAGCTGCCTTAAAGACTTCACCCATCCTACCTAAAACATGGATTAGAAAAGTTGATGATGTATTTGCCATTTTGGAACTAGGTCAGAATCCACAACACCTTCTTGAACACCTCAACAGTATCCACCCTCGAATGAAATTTACAGTAGAATTAGAAAAAGACAACCAATTACCATTCCTTGATGTATTAGTAAACAACTCCGCAGATTACCTAAAAACCACTGTTTACCGCAAGCCAACCCACACTGACCAATACATACATAATAGTTCAAATCACCCAACCAAAGTAAAAACAGGAATCATTAGTACCTTAACGAGACGCGCAAAATTAATATGTGATGAAGACCTCCTCGATAATGAATTACAGCATATCAACCATGTCCTTACAGAATTCAATAACTACCCTGCTAATACAGTTAATGCCACCATGAAGAAAACACTGACTCATACCTGCAAACCACCCCTTGCCATCAGAAGAACTAGCCCGCTTTTTATCTCCATCCCATTTATAGGACCAGCTAGCCACCAAATAAAAAGAATTTTAACAGAGCAAATCGGTGCAGAGGTAGTGTTCAGTAGCGGAACCACACTTAAAACTATGTTAAAAGCTGATGGTAGAATACTAAAACCAAAAGAGGACCCAAAGGGAGTCATATACAAAATAAATTGTGAGTGTAATATGGCCTATGTGGGCGAAACATCCCGTCCAATTTCAATCAGAACTAAAGAGCATCAGACAGCAGTTAAAAAACAAGAACAAAACAAATCAGCGCTAGCAGAACATATCCACCAAAACCCACAGCACCAAATCAAATGGGAAAGTACAGAAATACTAGCTAGAAACCTATCAACATGGAAAAGCAGAGTTCTTCGCGAGGCTTTGGAAATTCAAAAACATAAGCCAAAATTAAACAGAGACTCAGGACATTTCCTCCCAAATCTTTGGGTTGATTTATTTAATTCTTAATCAGTGTGTGTTAGTGATGAGAAGTGTCTGTGGTCATAAGTGTATGACCCCCCCCCCCTTTATTTCATCTTGTAGTTAAGGTTTCACTTGTGATGATTGTTTCTATCTCTGACTTTCATCTCATCTTATAGTTATGGTTTCATATAGTTAATTAGCGTCTTGATGTTACGGTTTCATGTAGTCAATTATCCTCTAATCTCTTCCTTTTGTATTATTAGTAGTCAATTATCCTCTAATCTCTTCCTTTTGTATTATTAGTGTTATTCTTTCATCATGTTAATTCATATAACTTCTTTGATCTTGATAATGCGTTGTTGATAGTATTGATTATTCTGTTAAATGGTTTCCACTTGTTACCTATATATTGTACCACATTTATTGTTGATTATCATTATTTGCTTGAAAACGATATCTGTATGTGTATCGAAACGTAGCATGTTAATAAATTCAGAAGTAGTATATCCATATAAGTGTGTTTTATTTTTAATTCTCACTGGTTTAGTTAATTTCTAAACATTTTATTCCCAAAAACCCTATGACACAAATAATGATCGATGCCCTAAAATTGTGACATAATACAGATTGCTTCCAGATCAAATAGTCATGAGATTTCAAACTCTTAAATTTGATGACTAGAAGACAAAAAGAAAAATAATGAAAAATTCCCGTCTTCCCGAACAGAATCTGATCTTAAATGAAAATAATGCTCGATGCCGGAAAACAATCGCATAATGCACAATTGATTCAAACCAAAACGTAGTGTGATTTCGGGCACTTTATTTGCCGACAACAAAAGTTTTTTTCAACGTCAATGATACAAATAACTGAAGTGGTTTATTTTTTATATTATAGTTATTGTGGTGGGACACCGCCAGACCCTATCATAGTACCAACTGGTGAAAACACCACCGTGAGATTCGAAACAGATTCCATCTTTACATGCCTTGGTTTTAACCTGAGCATTACCTACACAGGTATGAACTGTTGTATTATATGTTTATACAGGTAACCACTGATATAGATTAGTAAATAAATAATAGACTACTTGTATATATTTGTATGTAGATAATAACTACTGGAATAGATTCTATTTGTCATTTAAAACACGCATTTGCAAGAACACATTGCTGTATCTAAATATTTCTATATATTTACCTACTTGTCTTTATTTGTCTATTTTCAGATGTATAAAGCCAAGACATCAAGAGATGTATACATTTTGAGACATCAAGAATAAGTCGTGTTATAGCCATCAATGTAATAACTATATCCAAATTAATCTAAATTCATTTAAATAACAAAATTAAATCCATTCTAGAAACTGACCAATAACCTAAATAAACAATTCTTACTGTAATTTTCATTTATTCACTTAAAGTCTCGATGCGTCATTTTAGCGCTATTGGAATTACTTCTGTTCAGTACTGAATACGCCCACACAGTATCTGTGTCTCAACTGCAGCTGATCTGAAAGGAAAACTTGGATGTTGAACAAATTTGAAAAGGATCGAAAATTGAAAAAATAAACAAGCCTCTCTGATGTCCCCCGCCGAAATCCAAACATAAATAGATGACACATATTAATTAATCGCACATTTATTTTTTTCAAAAGTATCAAGCAATCAAACTGCACACTAAGTTTCATCCCTCTTTACCAGATAGAATCAGTTTATCTTGTCCCAAAGCATTGACCTATGAAATTGATTAGTTCTGCTTAGCTTCACGTCAAGACATTCACCTAATGAACATCTACATCAAGTTTAACCAATCTACCTCAATTGAAAGCAGACTTGTTACGTTCCAAAGTCTTGACCAATAAAATTGCTTATCGCTCCTTAGCGCAAGCAGAAAATTCCCACCATTGAACTTAGTCAAGGTAATGATATAATGAATCTATATTCTGAGTTTCATCGCTCTCACTTCATTATAACCAAAGTTATCGTGTCCCAAAGCATCAAACAATCAGATTGCTTATCTCTGCTTACCGTTAACAGACAATGTTAATCATCGAACCCCAAGGCATTCACCTAATGAACGCCAACAACAATTTTGAACATTCTACCTCCATAAGGAGAGTTAATGTGTCCCAAAGTCTCGCCCAATCAAATTGTTTATCGCTCTGCTTACCCCCAGCAGAATATTTTCATTATCGAACTTAGTCAAGGTATTGATGTAATAAAGCTATACACTAAGTGTCCTCACTCTCACTTTATTAGATTTAAAGTTATCGTGTCCCAAAGCATCATCCAATCAAATTGCTTATCTCTGCTTACGGTAAGCAGAAAATTCTCATCTTCCAACTCCATCAAAGCATTCACCTAATAGACAGCTACGTCAAGTGTGAATATTCCAACTCAATTAGTATGAGAGTTGTTGTGTTCCAAAATCTCGACCAATCAAATTGCTTATCGTTCTGCTTACCCTGAGCAGAAAATACTCATTATCGAACTTAGTCAAGGTATTGATGTTATGAAAGTATACCCAAAGTTTCATCACTCTCACTTAATTAGAACTTTATCGTGTCCCAAAGAATTAACAAATCAAATTGCCTATCTCTGCTTACCCTAAGCAGAAAATTCTCATCTTCGAACAACATCAAGGCATTCACCTAATAAACACCTAAACCAAGTTTGAACATTCTAGCTTAATTATAAAGAGGGTTAATGTGTCCCAAAAAGTATAACGGACAGACAGACCGACGGACGAACCCATTTTAATAGTCCTCTTTCTTCGAAAGGCGGGGGACAAAAAAATCTGTTAAAACCTATAGCCTTTATCGCTTTCATACGGTTTTCGGCAAAGAGGGGATAACTCAGGAACAACAGAAGGCTGTGGATTAGGAATATTGACAGGGTTCGATGACCAATACTTCAAGCCAAATATGAAAAAGATCCATTAACAACAATGAAATCAAATGGGGTTTAACCACATACAGCTCTGCCCATAAATCCTTTTCTTATGATCGGAATCAAAAAGGACTGCAGGCATTATGTACTTTAAGATGCTAGTATACGTATTCACTCCGATTTTCAAGCTTCTACGACCAACGGTAACGGTGGCGAGACCATAAGACGTTCGCAGAATAATGGTATATTACCATGTAGTTATTTTGATTTAGGTCGATTTTCAAAGATGACCGCCGTCATAGCGCAACCCGTAAAGAAGGCCGGGTTTGTTTGGTTTTTTTTACCGACAACGGTGTTTTTAGACTATAGAGGCATCATTCCTGTGGTCGTAGTACATTGAAATGCTGATAGAATGTGCATTGGGATCCTAGCTATAACCTATTAAAAAATAGTGGGTGCGTTTTCGGGAACAGTGATTTTGTTTGCTCGAAAACCACCCCAACCAACAACAGCCGTTTTCTATTAAAATCGCCCATATTTTATCGAATTATTATTGTTCTCGAGATCGCAGCTTTTAAAAGGTGATAGATATGAGTAGTATGCACCCTCTAAGAAAATTTTGAGATCTTGGAAATACCGGAACGATGCCTCAGCTGTCGATTTTCGGCATTTCCGTTCTTATTGTCACCGACATGGTTCCAGTGGTTTTGACGTCGAGGCGCACGAGCCCTCACTGCACAACAGACGTGATAAAATGGCCCTGCAGTATGCTACGAAAATTGCATCACTACCGAATCACATTTCATTTAACACCATATTTAGACCTCTTCATGAGCATTTGTATCTTGTGAAGACTAATTATTTTCCATCATTCGGTATTCGCATACAACCCCTTTTGTCTGAGGCTGGTATCAGCCTTGACAGTATTGCGGATACCCCTTTCTTTAATACTCCACCGTGGGCTATGTCTCCCCCAAAGATTGATTTCGATCTTTCTCAGCATAAAAAGAGGGATACTAGCTCGACGGTGTTCGACTCTCTCTTTAGAGAGTTAAGGTCTAAGTATGGTGATTATGCTCCTATTTACACAGATGGATCTAAAGATGGCGACCGGGTAGGTTCGGCTACCGTGACACCATCTGAGACCATTTCTGTCTGTCTTCCACCTGCTGCTTCAATATTTACAGCTGAGCTCCAGGCCATTCTTCAGGCCTTGGAGTTCATACAATCCTCTTCATCTTTAAAGCATATCATCTTTACTGATTCTCTGTCCTCGCTTCAAGCAATTAATAATAAACAGCTTGAACACCCATTGGTAGCAGATGTTTATCGTCTGCTACTATCTTATGAGTTTAACAGCAAAGACGTCGTCTTTTACTGGCTCCCCAGTCACGTTGATATAAGGGGGAATGATCAAGCAGATTTTGCTGCCAAAGCTGCTTTAGATCTTCCCCAATCACCCTTTTTAATACCTTATAAAGATTTTAATTCGTGTATAAATCATTTTATTTATGACCGCTGGCAACGGTCTTGGGATCTTGCAGGCACAAATAAACTTCATCACATTAAGCCTCTCCTAGGAGATTGGTCCAACTCCTATAGAACCAACAGGAGGGATGAAGTTGTTTTGTGTCGCTCTCGCATTGGTCATACCTTTTTAACTCATATTTTCATTTTGAAGCGAGAGCCTCAACCGGAATGTGTTCACTGTCATGTTCCTTTGACAGTGAAACACATCTTGATTGAGTGCAAACATCTCAAGTACATTAGATCTAAATACTACCGTTGCAAGTACGTCAGCTATTTGCTCAACCGGAGCTATATGACAAAGTGCTAACATTTTTAAAAGAGACAAACTTTTATTATCAATTTTAATTGTATATATTTAATCATGTATATCTTTTTAAATATTTATATATGTAAAAGATTTGTTATATTTATTCTTAATTAATATATTTTCTGTGATATTTGTTTTTATTTACATATATAAATTCATTTAGGTGATATAGGTGATATCGATTTAATTTGTCTCGTTAGATTCACCATATTCTTGGCGCAATATAGCCGGTTGGAGCTGACGTGCCATAAAACCATATTTCATTCATTCCAGTGGTTTTGAAAATTTAACTTTTTGTGATATTGCGTATAATACTAATACCTATCACGTACAGAAGAGACGATAAAGTGCAGTAAAAAACAACAACCCAAAAACCAACATTTTTATGCCTAGAATCCCATTTTTGGGTTAAAAATCATTTTCTTGGAGTCGTATAAAATGGGATTTAAGTTCTCTTCATATTCTATCAGAATGTCCTGTTCCTAGTTCTACGACCACCGGTCGCCTTGAAATTTTCAGGGCACCTAGGTACCTAGCTGAAAAGTAAGCCGGAATTTGTTAGACATGGCACCATTTTTTCCAGCGTAGCGCAAGCGCAAGCGTTCAAAATTGCTTACTACCGTGCTATAAAGGACCCCCCCCCCCCCTCCAATTCCGACACCGGGGCATTCAAAAATTGTCCCAAAATTAACGTCGAACCACTATTTCCAATTTGTGTTATTTTCAAGCCAATTACCCTCTGGAAAATGGCTGTCCCCCCCCCACCCTACCACACTCCCGGGTTGGCCCCTAAATTCCTTTTTGGGGAGTTATGCCGGTGTGACATGGTCCCTGGTGTGTGATGATTACCGTTTGGACACAGTGTGCATTGACTTCCCGTGATAGGATTTCCCCTAAGATTTTCTTATGGTTAAATCGGTTTCTACACTAGTATCTACCAATATTTACAGTATTACTAGGGTGACCCACCATAAATAAATATCTCCAAATATCTCGACAATTACGCCACAATATTTATATATATGCCAAGCCTCAAATCAGTTTCACACAATTATAGTCACTAAATAAACGATCATGTTGTACTTAATAAGCTATGACCATTAATCATCTATAAATAATAGACTAAAAACTGGTTCCAAGTTGCGTCCATAACATCCAGACACTTTTGAGTAAAAGATAGGTTACGTGCCCTTGTTTTGAAATTAGTCTCGCTTAACCAGTCTATCGACCATTCTACGTCTGATTGACAGGTCGGGATAATCAAGACTACTTTTTTACGAAACATAACAGAAAGCTAGAACAAGAAATTGAATTTAGAAATAAGCACTTTAGACAACTCAACAATTGTTTTAAGAAACTTGTAAAAGTAAAATGAAACTACTGCTAGTATCATGTTCCTGCTAAAGAAAGTGATTCAGAGATAGTATTTGTACTAAACCAAAAGATGCCGCTCTTAACGGTACAGTTAATGATAAAGCAATTTAAAAAATAAAACAAACGTAATTACTAAAGCTGCTGTAATAACCAAGAAGCTAAATTTTACTGCTATTCAAAATCGTCAACAATAGATTTTTTACGGCTGTAATAATTGATATATTTGTAGAGAATTGCACGTGCCATGGCTATTTATCGACTCAAAGCGAGTGCGGGGTAGTCAGAAATCAGTTCGAGACACGCAACTGAAGCGTGCACATTTAGCCGTGTCGAGACCAACTTTCTGTAAAGTGCACGGGTCATCCTAGTATTACTATATCAGGAGACGGTGTCGAGTTTCTATTGTTTGTTAATTTCGATAAAAAGTAGAAATATAATTTGACTTATAAAGTGAGCTGTAGCAATTCGCGTTGATGGAAAACCCCCGGACGCGTGACGTCAGACCGATATTTTACTCGCGACCGTCTAACGTACATAAACGGTAATTTCGCTTACATTTCGATAATTTTTTAGTCTGAATCTTTGCAGATTATGAGATTGATATTAAACTACATGTATTACAACACAGTTGCTAGTGATACATTTAAGTAAAATAGTAATTCAGAATCGTAGATTGAGGTAGGCTATATTTCAGCCGCTGGCTCTCGGATTTCACGCTAGGCACGTGACCTGAAACCCCTAATATGAGTAATAAACAGATGGGTTTTATTGTGAAGTTCAATAAGAAGTAGAAAATTAAAATAACAATGATACAGAGAAATCCCAACCATATAAAGGCCAATATTCAATCTACAAAATAGTTAATTATTAAAACATAGTTAAAACATCAAAGTGTAACGACTAATCACTAAAAAATAACAACAGCAACAAATCACGAACGATAGAAGTATCAATTTCAAGCCAATCAACTTAGATCCGTTGATCGTGTAAGTACCGATCACTAAAACAACAGCTAATCACGATAACAAGTCTGTTTATTAACGACAAAACTCTAACTAAATAACTTTTTCCTGAACTGATCACTGATCAGGAACCATCTCACATCACCGGAAGTATATATAGTTTCGTTGTTAACGCTAACAACAGTTTCGGACATGCGCAAGTGCCCAGGAGCAAACACACACCGGGATCATATGGTTTCACGGTGATACCCACGACGGTATGGATGTGGTACACGTGCGCATTTCAATTTTTGACCGATTTCGAACTGATAAAGGGTCCGTACTCAGCCTGTGGGCCCAAAGGTTTCCACATTTGGCTGAATGGCGGTTGCGGGGGTGAGGGACCTGCCCTAAAAATTTGGTGCCATTTGTCCATCCGGAAGGACTCTTAACTAGGCGTTAATACAAGTGACCACATAGTCTAAACTCTTTTTCAGCTACCACCCATTTTCGACCATTGTGCGTCCGAATCTGGTCTCAAAATCAAACTCGGAGCATTCTACGAATTTTGAGAAAAAAATATTTTGGTAACGTCGGGAAAATGGCCACGGTGTTATGGAATCCTGCGGGGTTTCCTAGGGCAGGTACCTAGTGATTTTCAGACTAATTCCCACGAAAGTACGGATGCTGTGAGCATGCACACGTGTTTCGATTTTTGACCTAATTTCGCTCTGAAAAAGGGTTGGTACTCAGTCCCTATGGGCTGAGCGAGAGGCGATTGGCTGAGGTACCTGCCCTGAAAATGTAGTGCCAATCGCCTCTCTGGCAGGGGCCGAGCGTAGCAATAATCCACCTGAGAACAGTGCGAAAAAAGTCGATTTTGGCATTTTGGTACCCCTTAAAAAAAGCCCAGAACTCAGGCCCTAGGTGGTCCGTGAGCAGATGCCCACCAACAATAGGTACGAACCTATTCTTATTTTAATAAAGTTCGCCGGCAAAACTTGAATGGAGGATAGCTAAGTGTCTGATCCGAACCCTACTCGACCTAATCCCCCTAGTGGGTCTTTAGCACAATTCTTTGCCCTTTTCCGTAGGACAGGGTATGTTAGCCCGAATTCACAAGAATACGTTTGGAGTCAGAATAATCTATTTTCAACCCTCTATTCTATCTCTATGTAACTTTTTTCCAAACCCTGTCCCCTCCCCTTGAGGACAAGGGGGCTAAAATTTCGAAAAATTGTCTCAATCTCGTTCACAAGGTTTTCGACAAAGGGGGGATAACAATAGAATCGAAAGTCACACAATGCTGCATACCTAAATCTACCGTAAATGAAGGGCTAAATCATATTTTCACAAAGGAAATCTACCGTAAATGAAGGGCTAAATCATATTTTCACAAAGGAAATTATATTTTGAAGCTTAATATATAACTATTTTTATTAGCATGTAAAATTAATACAATTTTTAAACAGATTAGTCTACCAGCAAATCAATGCGAGAATAAGAACGTTGGAAGTTAGCGGTGGAGGAATGGCAGATGCACGATATAGATTTACAGCAGCCATTATACATTTTTAACATTTTTGGTCTGAGATAAAAATGGGAAGAAAATAGATGAAATTTGTATGACACAACTAATCGCTTAGAGCGTATTTAATCTGGTTGTAAGTTAAAATTATAACCCGCATACGACTTCGATATCAAACAATATGTAAGTTAGGAGGAACCTGCCATTTAAACCTCAAGTTTAAATTCGTCAATATAAAGAAAATCGACCTAAATAGTCTTAACGATACACATGTAAGAGGTGCATATCGTCCCTCTATTTTGACTTCAAAGACACGTGACAAGCCTATAATCAACTCTTTAGTCAATCGGATTGTAGAGATTTTAAGGGATTGGAAATCCCGCGAGATGTAATAATTTAACCACAAAGTGAGAAATCAAGCAAAACTTAGTCTCGATTGACCCGTACCGTTGCTACGATCATAACCGTCTACGCTACATCTTTCATTATTTATGATTTGAACTACTACTGCAAGTATGACCAGATCTCCATCTAATTCTTACATAGTACATCTTTAATAAAGTTTGACACTTTGTTTCATACACTATTTTATATTATATTTTAAAATCATAAAACGGTAAATGAACATAAACACACTGTGTTAAAATAACGACATCTGATAGGCTTCTCCAAAATTCGTGATGTCATGCTGCAGGTGTTAGATTATAATAATGGTAGCGTGCTCCAAAACATAAAAAGCTGATGCAGGGCGGCCAGGTTTAATATTTTTGATATATTACAATAATGGTAGCGAGCTCCAAAATATAAAAAAAAGAGCTGAAGTCGGCAAGGCGGCCAGGTTTAATATTTTGGGTTATTTTTGGGCGCCTAAGGGAAAATAGTTTACGGAGTGCTATTAATTTATACGCATCAAAGCAGGTAACCTCTAAACTAGGGCTGTAAAAAAATACAATACGGGTCGCTTGTAAAATGATATATCGATTTCTCATCGTACTTTCCTCTCTGTTTAAAACCACATAGCTTGGCAGAAATATCGCGAATATTTTTAAATTGGCTCGTAAATATTATTGGAAAAGTTTAAAACTGGCACATTTTCTTGGAAGAATGTGCCACTGAACATTTAATTTATGCATATCACTTTGCCATACATTTTGCACTACAAATGGC